CCTGGCTTAGAGGGAACACTGCTTTTGTAAAAACCCTTGGACAGGTACGACAAGAACCAATACCACTGTACAGAATTCACTGCACAACTAGCTAAGAGTAAGGGACCCGGCACGGACTTGCCACGTGGAGGGAATGGGACGGAATACATCTGCAATCGACCGGGAGAGCGAGCGGCGCCGTGGGGCTCGCGCTGCTGGCCCGCGGCCCTCGCCCCTCAGTACGCTGGCACTTGGTAACCTTTGGGGTTGGCCTCTAAGGTCTCGGTGAAGGGGGGGCTCTGGTAGGTCTCTGTGCTCTCGATGCCGCTGCCGGTGGGGAAAAAAAAGGTCGGTGGCAAACTGATCGGTGGCAAAGAGCGACAGGTCCGTCCCCAGGCGGTATCTCTGCAGAGCCTTCACCGCCAGCGCGACCTGATGAGATGGAGGGGGGTTAGGGGGGGCAGCGACACTGTGACTAGGGCCCCGTGTCCCCTCCCCAGGACTCTGCGTCCCCCCAGGACCCCTCATCCCCCCAGACCCTGCATCCCCCCATGCTCGCTGCGAAGCACCGAGCGCATCACAGCACCCCAGGTGGCTGCTGGTCCCGCTCCACTACAGCCAAGAGCCAAACCAACCCCGAACCACAGCCCCTGATGCTTAAGATGCCATCTCTGTGTGACAGGTTGACCCCCTCCCCCACAAGCTCTGTCTGGATGGGGGTCGCAGCCTGGGCTCGGGGCCGCGGCTGTGCTGATTCGGCACCGTTGGCACCAATAAACCCATCTGCTGCGGGGAGGGAAAGCTGCCAAGTCCGGGGCCAGCAAAATGGGTCAGTTCTGCCGAGACTCCTTCGCCCTCTTCCAGGTTGCCAGTATTGAGGTCACAAGCCGTGGGGAATGCCGGCGGCAGAGCCACGAGCACACCATGCTCGCTCTTATTGCAGGAGGTTTCATTAACGAGTCAATTAGTTTATAAACGACAGGCTCAGGGGGTGGGAAAAACCCACCCACAGACCCCGAGAATAGCTAAAGCCCCAGGTGCGAACAAAGCCTCTGGTTTTGTCGGGACCAGGGCTGCCGTGCCGGTGCGACATCCCGGCCATCCTCCGTGCTGGTAGCAGGGGACCAGCACCCCCACTGCCCTCCCCAGGGTGGGAGCAGATGCTGATGGGACGGGGCAGAGCATCCCAGTGCCCTTCCCTGGCAGCTGCATGGACCAGGCGGTCTGGCAGCGATGGAGAAGAGCTGCAGGGAAGCTGGGATTAAGAAAGATTTATTGGGATAATAATGGAGCGGGGAGCAGTTAAACTGGCCAGGAACTGGAGCCAGGCTGCTGCTGGAATGCCTCAGTCTGTCTTTTGCCCCAGTTCCTTTCGGGCAGTATGGAACCGGTGCGCATCTTGGGCGCGTTCCGCCCACAAAAGGCCAGGGGGTGGCAGTGACGCAGGGGCCATCCCTGCTCCTCCATGCCAGCCCCCGGAGCAGGACCCTCCCGAGCAGCACAGGCATCCCCAGGCACATGCAGGTCCAGCAGCTGCGGTCAAGGGCCTCCCCCGGGGTCTTGCACACCCCTGGCCAACGTCCCTCTGCCCCTGCATGGCCCCAGGGACGCACGGAGCCTGAAAGCAGGAGCAAAAGGGGTTTCTGCAAGCCCCTGGCTCCGGGGCGGCAGCAGCAGAGCCAGCCTGGCCTCCCCCGAGGGTGAGATGATGAGCCTGAGAGCTCCCAAAATCCCCCTGCCATCCCGTGAGACCAGCTCACAGCAGCGATCCGCTCCCAGGGACTCGTTTGCTTCCCACCAAGCTGCTCCCAGGGGTCTAACAAGGCCCTGAAATGGGGGCAGCTCATGGCTGGTGACACGTTTTCCACAGGAGGCAACTTTCCAGCCACAGGAGAAGGGGAAGTGTGGAAACCCCCAGCGAGAGGGGACTGAGCCTCCTGGGTAAGAAACTACAAGTTTCATCTCTATTTGGCGGGACCGCAAGTTTCCTCAGTGCATCCCCTTGCCGCCCACCAGCATTTACTTCTCCAATCCGCGTCCCAGATTCCTCCTCCCAGCCCAGCGCTGGTTTCGGTTCTCCTCTCCCCCCTCAGCTCCAGAGCTGAACTCACCCAGACGATGATGGAGAAGAAGGAGAAGGTGATTGCTGCCCGGGCGGCGTCTGCTCCTTGAGAAACCCCTTTGCTCATCGTTGTCCGTTGCCACTGGTTTGCTAGGAAGCAGAAGGCTACGAACCACAGGAAGGACAGGAAACCTGGAAGAGAAGAGAGCGGGTCAGTGCTGTCGCTGCCCACCGGCCCCTCCGGGCAGGGCTCCCCCCATCTGCTGATGCACAAACACGCTGCCGTCACGATTTTCGAAGGGCAGCGGGGATCCTGGGGGCCTCGACAAGCCGCGTGGCCCCAGAGGAGCTATGGGGGCCGATTTGTAATGGCTGGAAAAACAGGGATGGAAGGACCGGTGTAGGGTCACCCCATGTGTTGTCTGCCTGAGGTTTAGCTCACCTACACCTCAGCCTGATCTCACAGACCTACAGGGCCGGTGCACCCTCTCCGGACACGCGATCCTCACGGTCTGTGGGATTTCAGCCGGCGTCAGAGCGCTACCAACCCAGGTCCAGCATCCCAGTGTGTGGACCCACCGTTCCCTTTGACGAGACTTTGGACTGGATACTGCAAACCTCACCCAGGAACTCCTGGGAGCAGCACCGGGCTGCTCGGCGGATGCAGGAGTCGGGTTTTACAACTGTTGTGCGCCAGGCTACGCCTCGGCCCAAGGACGCAGCTAGGGAGCTGGAAAAAGGCTGGTCACAACAACCCAGGAATATGGACAGGCTGAGGTTAAGCCCCGCTCCAAACACGGGGATCACGAGTGGCCCTGGGATGGCAGCGCATCCCACGGGCAAGTGCTCACCGTGCCCAGGGCACGGACACAGCAGGGCTGCCCACAGAGCCCAGAGGCACATGGGCTTCACGAGAGAGCTCTGCTCATTCCCGCTGCCCTCCGCTGCCTGCGCTCCAGTTCCCAGCCTCCCCGGGCTCTGCGGGATTGGGCAAAACTGCTCTGGTGATTATTCCTGGAACCAAAGCTGGCTGAGCAAGATAGGGCTGCAGCTTCCCCAGCGCGCTGCCTGATGCCAGCGAGCTCAGAAGCTCGTCAAGAAGCAAGCCCCAAGCGCACAGGGTAAGGAGCAGTGATGCTTTCCAGCGCTGGGAAGAGGAGCTGCACAGCCCGGCGCCTTCCACAATGCTGTTTTAAGGGTCTCCAGCGTTCCCTGATCATCCTCAGCACAAAGGTGTCTCCCCCTGCCCCCAGCCCGATTCTGGGTGTCAGGACGCACAGGGATGCTGAGCTGCCCGGCACCTTCCCAAGGATCGGGAGCACATCAGTATGAGCAGCGGCACTGCCAGTTCCCAGGCACAGCCTGGCTGCAACGAGAGGAAAGCAGCTCCTTTATTCCCCTTTATCTTGCCAGTTGTTCCTAAATAGGATGTAAACCGCACGTGTGCATCCACATCCCGCGCGAGGGCTACGGGGCTCATCACACCTCGCCTTTCAGTCAGAATTTGCTCCGAAGTGCAGCGTAAGGTGACACGCCTCGTCTCCTGGGCCTGGGGCTTCCCAAGCAGCGACGCTTTTATCAGCCTGGACGTCACTGAGCCCTTGAACTGCCCCCAGAGCAACACAACCTCCAGCAAGGATCACCCAGGCTTCCCTTTTCCAAAGGAGATAACACAACAGCCTCATTGTGCCAAACACGGCTAGTGCCTGCCACCAAACCCCTATGCATCCCCCCTCCCCTAAGGCCCCCCGCCTGTCGTCCGCGTTAAACGAGACCTCTGGGGCTTAGTCCTCAAAGGCCATCCTCAGGGGCAGAGGTGATTTCTAGCCCCACAGCTCTGTTCATAACGGGGTTTTACCAGCCGCTGGCCCCAGTTAGGAGAAGCAGCTCCAACCCCTAAATGTGGGTGTGCCCGAGGTAGAGCGCCGGCTGCAGCTCGGATGACCAGTCTGTGGTGAGCATCGTCCCCACTCGCTGTGCAGGAGATGCTGAAGCACAGCTCAGGATGCTGTGCTGCTGCAGCGCTCCCACCCCGGGGTTCCTGGGAGGCAGACGCCACGGCAGCGGGGAGCACTGCCCTCCCCAGCTCGAGCAGCAAGCCTCAGACAGGAGTTTCTCACTCAAAACCGCATCTTCCTGCAGACAGCCATGATTGGAAGTTGGAAAACCAGAGATGAAATTAAGAGCAGCTCCCCACAGGTTAATTCAGAGCTGGAGAGGGATGCCCAGGGCCAAGCTCTGGGGCCGTGCAGCGCTGGCACCAAGGGACACGGGGGCTCTGCAGCAGGACCAGGCTGTGTCACTGGGTTGGCGGGGGCCGGTTTTTTGTTTAACACTTGATGCAGTGCATCAGGTCCTCCCTCAGACGCTCCCGGGCAGGATAGTTCCGCAGAGCAGGAGCCACAAGCCGCCCCACGGGCACTGCTAGGCACCCAGGGCCACAAAACCCCATCTGTCACTGGCGTCTTCCAAGGGTTTTCAGGAGTTAAGATGACATCATGCACATCTCCGAACTGCACCGGCTGTGCTGGGTATTGCAGCAACCGGCTCCCTCTGCAACGCTGAGCTGTGCAAGACGCTGACCTTCCCAGGGCTAAACCCATTAGCTCCTTCAGCCTGAAACCTCTAGCTGGGGTCACTTCTGCTGCTACCCATGAGCACTTCCCAGAGGTTTTGCCTCCACATCCTGCTCTGCTTGGATCCCTGAGGAGAAAAAGGATTCCCTCCAGTGACCTGGGGAAGTGGGAAGCCCGGTATCGCTGCCAGCGGGGGAGATGGAATCAGCCATGGAGACCATCTCCAGGAACACCAGCCAGGCGTTGGTCGAAGTCTGGAGGCCTGGCACAGATGGCAGACCAGACCCCTGACGGGAACTATTTTTGTTTCTGTACCAGCGCTTATTTTCGTCCGTGATCATGTTCACCTCCTGCTGGCTCTCCTTCGAGATGAGACTTCGCCCCCGATAACGCGAACCAGACACGCAGGATCGCAGCCCAGCCCCCTCGCACCCGGCATCCCGCCAGCCACTCGGCCGTTCCCTCCCCTGGGCCCTCCTCGCCCGCCACCCACAACCCTAACCCTGCCTGCACCCATCCCCGGGGTGTCTGCAGTGTGGGGTGTTGTGGAGGTGCCTCTCGCTCCCCAGGAATTTTAAAACCTGACCGAGAGGGCTGAGCGTGTTGAGGCTGCATGTGCCGGTCCCGACTCTGGCGGGAAACGGGCACGGTGGCAGCTCCGCACCCTCCAGCATGCCAGGGAAAAGGAGAACACCAGGAAGCACCGCGAGAGCCAGCAGATAATTATCGGTGTAGGCTCCGCAGGCAACCGAGCGCAAACACCAGGGAAGAGGTGTTACAGCCATAATTACAGCCTGGTCCCACGCAAGCGCGCGTCCACGGGAGCAGCTGGAAGAGCAGATGGAAGAGAAAGTCGCAAATGCCGTTTGCACGGTGCTGTGGCCCTGCCCGCGCCCCGGCGTGACCGCCCAGCCGACTCTGATCTGCCACTGACCCCATGCACAAGTCCGCTTTCCTCCCAGCAGAAGAACGTCGTGGGTTAACCCTTTCACCAACAGCCCCCTCCCCGCAGCCCCCCGAGACGGTAACTGCCAGCTGACGTCTGCTTTCCAGGCAGCCGGCATCAGGCTCCCGGGTGACCCAGGCCAAGGGCCAGCACTGACGCACTCTTCTCGCCCCGGTTTGCAACGCTCCCGCGGACCCGAGCGGACTCCTCGCCCGCTTATTCCCCAGATGCATTTTCAGCTTTTCTGTTAAGCAATAATGCAGAGACTGTGTACGGAGAGAAAAGAGGGAAGGGTTGCAAGGAAAAAGGATGTAATCCAGCATCCCATCCTTGGAGAGGAGGAAGACAGCAGGGGACAGCGTAAGAGTCCCGCGGGCGAAGTTGTAAATGTGGGGGTAGTCAAATGTGGGTCAGCTCTGCCTCCTGGCAGGTTCGGAAGGATATCAGAAGGATATTGACCAGTTGGAGAGAGTCCAGAGGAGGCCACGAAGATGATCAGAGGGCTGGAGCACCTCTCCTGTGATGAAAGGCTGCAAGAATTGGACTTGTTCAGCCTGGAGAAGAGAAGGCTCCGGGGAGACCTTATTGCAGCTTTCCAGTGCCTGAAGGGGCTACAAGGAAGCTGGGAGGGGACTTTTTACAAGGGCCTGTAGTGACAGGACAAGGGGTAATGGGTTTAAGTTGAAACTGGGGAGGTTTAGATTAAATATCAGGAAGAAATTCTTCATGGAGAGGGTGGTGAGGCACTGGGACAGGTTGCCCAGAGAAGCTGTGGATGCCCCATCCCTGGGAGTGTCCAAGGCCAGGCTGGATGAGGCTTGGAGCAACCTGGTCTAGTGCAAGGTGTCCCTGCCCATGGCAGGGGGGTTGGAACTAGATGATCTTTAAGGCCCCTTCCAACCCAAAACATTCTGTGATTCGGTGCCCGAGGCTGCTGGGGGGGATGCGGCGGGCTGGGGTCTCTGGGGCTGCAGAGGCTTCACGTGCCAATGGACCCTGCGCTTCACCTCTGCAGTTGGATCTGCCTGTGTCGATGATGCTTCTGGGAGCAACCGCCTGCCTGGCACCTCCCTGTGAGCGGGCATACAGGCTGTGGCAGTAGCGCTGGAAGAAAAGTTTGGGGCAACCAGGATTTTAGAAAAGTGAAGGTGCCACCATAGGAATGGGATAAAATACACGTCAGCAGCATCTCGCCGAATTTGGGCTTAGAAACCAGACCTCATGGAGTTGTGTTTATCTGCAACCACGGACTCCCCAGACACCGTTCCCATTGGTATCAGCATCAAGCTGGGTGTCAGCACAGCGTCTGCTAGAGTGGCTGTGGGGAACGGTTCGCTGGGCGGGGATTGCTGCTGGTAAGGAGCTGCTGGCGGGGAGAGTACCAGGCAGCGTGAACAGAGGCGATGCCAGGCTGGGGGAGCTACGGAAAACTGCTCCTTGCAGACCCCGATAAGTGACACCATGTCATCACGGGCTCACACAGCCTGCACAGGAGTGATTTATGTGTTTTACCAGCAAGGAAGCAGCTTGCCTGTTTTCTACCAAGAAGCCCACGGAGGGGATGGCCCAAGGGAGCAGGAGTCCCTGCCCGGACACAGGCTGAGGACGCGATGCGCCGGGAGCACCCACACTGACCCAGGGTGACCCAGGGGTGATGCAGCCCCATCGCTGGCAGCTGGGGGCATTTACCAGCGCAGACCTCTGGTGTGAAACTGCAGCCTGTCCCCAGGGCACAGCAGCAGCCCTGCACAGGCAGAGGCTTTGCAGGGCAGGAATCATCTTCTCCAGCCCACTGCCAAAGCCCGGGAACGTGCACACAATGCTGGACAAGTGCAAAAGAGCAGCCAGGAAGCAATTGAGTGTGGTGCCATTTACACAGCCTGGCAGGGGAGGGAAGGGCTGTCAGGAGGTGGAAGGCAGGAGGATCACAGGCTCGCTCTGCAGCCTGCAGCACCAGCCCCAAGATGGATGTGATGTTCCCCTTCCCTTCGCACTGAAGGGTTGCAGGCACCAAGCCCCATGGAGGGGGCTGTAAATACCATCTAACAAGGGCTGGATGCCAGCACTCCAGCACCAGGGAAATAAGCTTCCCAGCAAGGAGAGAACATCCTTAATAACAGGCGAGAGCAGGGAGGCGATGACGGATGTTTTCATTTGGGAGCAGAGAGCCATCAGCGACGCTTGTGCTGGATAAATCACCTTCAGACTTTGCTAACACGAGAGCCTGGAAATGGAGAACATGAGCTGCCAACTCAGCCAGGCAACTCCCACAGCAGCTGAGCAGAGGTTGGACTCTCCCGGCTCAGGGCATCCCGCCTGCTCGTGTTTGCGTGGATGAGCCCCACGGAAGAGCTGTCCCAGCACCTGGGATTCCCAGAACCCCCCTGCACTCCGCAGTCCTGGAGGCAGCAGGGGTTACAGGGGTACGGAGAAGCGTGTTTCAACTTTGTTCCAAAACACACGTAGACAAAGCAAAACCAGACCCAGATGTAACTGCTGTAACATTTGCTTGAGCCAGAAGCAGGAGATGTGGGAGGGTAAAGCGCCCCGTCTGGTCTCTGAGCTGTGAGCACCAAGGCCCGCTTCTCGGGGTGGCCTCAGCGAACCCAGCACAGGTCTCTGGTTGCAGAAGTGACCCAGCCGAGTGGGACACCCCACAGTCTCCTGGCTGCCCCACACCAGCTTCCTCGCTGCCGCTTCTGAGCTCACGGGACAACCCATCCGCCACTCCTGTTCCCCCCGACTGAGGCCCACGGGTGGTGCCACGCTGTGGGAGGAGCGGGAAGGACACAAGCGTGGAGCTGCAGGGCACAGCGATGACCCCACGTTGCCTGCAGAGCACAGCAAAGCCAGAGACGTACCTGAAAAGCCGAGGTCCAGCAGGACGGCCCGTTTGCGGTCCTTCACGCTGCTGATCTGCTGGAAGTAGAGGTCCACGACAAGGAAGAAGATACAGCCAAAGAAGGCAATGATGCCAACGGCGATGCCGTAGCTGCAGGCACTCTCATTCTTGTTGAAGATGCAGAGAAGCTCGGGGCTCGTGCTGTCCTTGTTCACGTAGCACTCATTCACAATGGAGCCAAACACCACGATGGAGAAGATCTGCAGAAGGAAGGAGAAAACACAATTTGCTGCTGTTTACATTTAACTCTCTTTTCCGACAGCAATATAATTGGATTCAATCCTGGCTTTGACTCCATGGCAACGTGGCACTTGTTGGATCCTGACTCTCGCCTGGCTGGGGGCCCAAGCAATGGTGGACGGTACCTCGGTCCTCCTTCGCTGGGAGCCTGTCTGCCTTCCAGGGCCATGTTTGCAGGGCATTTTAAGAGATGATATTCTCCAGACAGGCTGGGGAGGGAAGAAGTAAATTCAAGGGCCAGGTCCCTGCACAGTCGTGCTGCTCTCTGCTGTCAGGCGGGGCTCAATAAACCCCCTCAATCACTGTGGAGCGGGGAGAGATGAAGTTAGCGGGTAATTCAGTTGCTGAGCAGGATGATCTGGGGAAGGACGGGATGCCTGGTGGAAGGGAGACGGGACACAGCATCGCAAGGAGGTGGGGAGTGGCTCACCTGAGCACAGTGGGGCAGGGGCACAGCCTGCCCTGGGAAGGACAGGGCAATTTTTCGCCTGGCTTCGCAGGGGCTGAAGGATGCCGCGCCTGCATCCATTACCCAGTGACCTGGTTTCAGCCCTGTGACGGACGCAAGGGCAAGGGGTGGCTGGGGGCTGCCCAGGTCCCACTGCGGCGAGCCCAGGGTGTTTCACATCCCTGCAGGCAGGGAAGGAGCCGGATGGCAGCACACAGCCAGCTGCCTAAATTAATATCCTTCACGATGCTGCATGCTGAAGTAATTCCCTTATCCCTCCAACACCAAAGGCAGCAAGTGGAAGCTGTGGGACCGGCTGCATTACAATTTGCTCCGGAGCTGGCTCCGTTAGAGCCTACAAAGTGCTGTGCCACCCTTTGGGTATCAGGCAGAGAGCAGGGAGGGCAGCAAGGCATGCAGACACCCCTCCCTCCAGCTGTGAACCTCTGATCTTGTCCCTTGCCGCCAGCACCGGCTCCCCGCATCCCTGCATGCCGCCCCGGCTGGCAGCACGCAGCTGGAGGCACGCACGCAGGCGGAGGGAGACGAGGCTCCTCCAGCATCCCCGGTGCGACGGGAGCAGCAGGGGGCTCGGGATACTGTGCAGCTCCCTCCAGACACCCCGCTACGTCTTCTGCGGTAACAACATGACACGAAGGGCACGAGACCGAGACACAAAAACGGCGGGCGGTGGGCTTTGCAAAGTCACCCGCGTGTCACCCACAGAGCTGATGCCCAGCTGCGGGCCACCCCCGACAGCCCCACGCGCCCCAAAGCGTAAGCAGTGCTGGGTGAAACGGAGCAGAATCCACTGCGAGCAAACCACCCGGAAAGCTCTAACCACTCCTTAAGGTAACGCTGTGATAGGCATTTTCTCGCAAGCACCAGCCAAGCGTCTCGCCGCAGCCTGCCCTGAAGGATTTCACTCATGTTTCTCTCCCCCAAACTCCTTCTGGTGCTGGGGTGAAGCCGCTTCTGCCTGAAGCTCCTTACACCAGTGTCCCATTGGAAACACGGCTCAGACCGTCTACACTAAGCCTCTTCCGAACTGGAGAACAAGGAAATGGAGCTGGAAGGGACTGAACTACCAAAATGTGGAGGGATTGGTGAGGGCTGTTTTTTATCTCTGTAGGGTGTCAGCTGAAATCCGTGCTGAGCAGGAGCAGAGTCTGGAGTACATCCTACCTCAGGTCTGCAGGAGCTCCTGCGAGCAGCTACCCCAGCACAGTGCCACCAGCTACTCATGCTGGTATCTGCAAGCACATGAGGGAGGAGCAGGTTGCACCATGCTCATTCCCGCCTCCAGAAACCCCCGAGGACAACCACCTCCTCTTTCAACCCTTCTACCCAGGAGCTCTGTTAGTGACAGCAGGCTCCTATTGCCCAAAATTCAGCGGGGGGTGTCGGGGGGTGGAGATGTGCCGAAACCTGCCTGCTAGTTTAGCTGGCATCCCTGAGCTACCCAAAAATGTGCAGGAGGAACAACGCGTACCCACGCCGCGGTGTGAGAAGGCTGCAGGGAATCGAGCAGCCAGGCTCCCCCGAAATGCTCCATCACTGCAAGGAAACAAAACGTGGGGGGTCCCTGTGCGGGGTGAGGAGAGCAGAGCCCCCAGCCCCCAGCGCTGTGCTGGAGAGGGCGGCTGTCCTGCCCCGCATGGCTGCTCAGCCGAGAGCGGGGGGCGTGCAAAATCCCCCATGGATTCACCTGCAGGTGCCCACAGCAGCTCTTTGGGTCTTTTTCCATCAAAACACCTCGTGTACCCCCCTCTGCTGCCCTAGTCCCCCAGCAGCTCTGCACTGGCTCCTTCCTTGACAGGACAAGGGGTAACGGGGTTAAACGGAAAGAGGGAGATGGAGATGGGACATCAGGAAGGAATTCTGCCCGCAGAGGGTGGGGAGCACTGGGATAGGTTGCCCAGAGAAGCTGTGGATGCCCCATCCCTGGAAGTGTCCAAGGCCAGGCTGGATGAGGCTTGGAGCAACCTGGTCTATGGAAGGTGTCCCTGCCCATGGCAGGGGGTGGGACTGGGTGGGCTGTAAGGTCCCTTCCCACCCAAACCATTCCATGATTCCCTCCATGGCCTGCTTAGCCAAAGGGATCAGCATCTCCACCTTGGCAGAGGTGAGCGCATCCCTGTCTATGCGAGTGGCAGCAGGAGTGGCTTTCTATCCTGGAAACACTCCTCAGCCCCAGGAATTAGCCCATTCTTGAACTACATCCTCCTAGAAACGTGGGTTTCCAAATCTTGCACCTGCAAAGTTCAGGTGCAACCTTAGATTTCCCCTGGACCATCAATAAAAAGTCCATATGCCCCACAGATATCTCCACGGCTGGCACAGGGAGACAATCAGACCTGCATCCTCTACGCATTCAACCACTACCCGGGGTCCTGTTCCCATCCATCCCCGGCCCTTCTCAGGTCCGAGCACCAGCCACGAGCTCGACGGCCACGCGGGTCACCCGCCCGCACTTGCACCCCCTTCATCGGCTGTTGCCCCGCGGGGGGCACAGCATCATCACGCGAAGAACAAGGGGGTTGCAGTGTAACAACAGTGAAACAACAACAAACAGTAATAATCATTTTCCCAGGGCTTTGGCAGCAGCTGTAATATCAGCAGTTGTAAAAATCTGTTCATAAATAATGCAAAATTGTTATTTACCATCAGAAATAGCAGCAGCATTTATAAAACAGGCCCTGGAAGAAATAATGTGATTCTGGAAAACATGAATAATTGAGAACCTCTGATTCCACGGGATTATTTCTCCGGCAGGCCAGCGAACTCATACTTGGCTTCTCCGACGCTTAGTCCTCCTGGGATTACCAACCTGGATTTCGCCGTGCGTGCAGGGGCCAGATTCCATGGGTGAGGGAGGGATCCCCTAAAACCATCAAAGGTGGTACAGGACAGGGCGTCTGGGTGCCGGCACGCAGCTTCGCACACCTCGGGCTGTCAGCAGAGGATGCCCAGGCAGTGCTTTTGGGACGCAGGCAACGCAGGACACACGGCTTCTTCCCAGGAGGCCAAAATAGTAAGGAATTGCAGGTGCACCCATTTGACAGACGCACTCAAAATACCAGCACTGGCTGAAATACTCCCGTCAAAACACGCTTTTCGGTGCAAACAAGCCCTTGCATGGGCTTTGTCTCCCTCCCAACGTGACTGAGGTGTTGTGGTTTTTGCTTAAAAAACAGCTGGTGATGGTAGAACTTTCTCATGTGAATAGATTTGGTGTTGTTTAAGTATAGGTGGGAAAAATAAACAGAGAAAATGTGAGTGGACGGGGGAAAATAAAACCCATTGTGGTTTTTTTTAAAGTTCATGTAAAATAAGTGCCATTTTCCGGTCACCTCAAACTGCACGTGCTCCCACCCACAGCCAGTTCATCAGAGACCCTTGAAGTGAAAATGCAAGGTCAGATTTTCCACTGCCAGTGAGATATTATGGGTTGGAGCAAGGAGGCAGGAATCCTGCTCTCCAGAGATGCTCCTTGGACTCCCACCTCCTCCTCCTGTCCCCCAAACTGCAGTCCCCATGACCAGGCAGGGCAGTGACAGCCCTCAGGACCAAGTACCCCGTCCCCAACCACCCTCCTAAGGGAGATCCTCTGTATCTCAGTAGGCCGAGCATCCAGGACACTCCATTTTCCAGCTGAACAACCCAACACAACCAGCACCGAGTTTTGCTTTCGTAGGGTGAACCGGTGCAAGGCCCAGCAAGAAAAACCGATTATCTCCAGCCACCCTGGTATGAAATTGCATCCGGCCTGCCAAGGCTTTTCATAAACCTGCTTGCAGGAAGGTCTCCTGGCCTGGCGTGCGGGATGCTCAGCCCTGCCTCTCTCCAGTGCCAGAGAGTGGCTGGGAGCTCCCAGCACACGACTCTGGCAGCTCCCAGCACACGTCTCCGGCAGTTCAGTCCATTAGTGCTCCTGTTCTCATTCAGCTGCGGGGAGGGATGGGAAGGAGGAAAGCAGTCTTCTCCCACCCCTTCCATTAAGACTTGCACTTCAGGCACTCAAAGGAGGTTCTATGCCTCAGTCATGCCCTGGGAAGGAGAACAACACGGGTCAGGGGGATGCATGGAGCACTCTGAGCCACAATGATGCAGTGGCTGCTCGTGCAAGTGTGGATGGAGCTCACGTTACCCCGAACCAGCGAGAAGCCAGGGACCTCACCTCCTAATTAAAGGCAGCTGCCCAGTCCTCCCATTTAAAGCTTGTTTCCAAGCGGGAACACCTCGCCAGGCCAGCCCACGTTTCGGTAATGCAGGACAAAGGGACAGGTCTCAGCAGCCATCAGTGACAGGGTCTGGGTACGCCGGCCACGATGGGCTCTGGAAAATGGCTGGTGCAAAGCCAACAACAGCAGGGTTTTGAGCATCACCCTAAAATCCTGGGAGACCACCCAGGGATGCTGCTTAGGCTGGAGGCTGCGTCTGTGCAGGAACCTGCCGCTCCAAGGCTGCCTTTGGTATCCAGCGCCGGACCCAGATGCACATCTCGCCCGC